CCTAGGGATGAAAATATTTCTTAATATAAAAATTTTTTTATAAACATAAATTACATAACATACCTTATTAATTAATAAGCTGGTTTATAAACTAGCCAAGTTAACGCTTTATTCGTGACATATATATATATATATATATATATATATATATATATATATATATATATATATATATATATATATATATATATATATATATATATATATATATATATATATATATATATATATACAAATAACGCAGAGCCGATGATGTAAACTACACTGAGTGGTAGCGAGCACTAAAGCCTGAAAACAACCGGCTACTAGAGATATTTTAAGATATTTATAACACTAGTGGGGGGACGCGCTGGTTCGGTGGACCTTATTTCTAGTAGGAATAAGGCTTACCCGGGGCCGTGCACGCGTCTGCCAGGGTTACACCAAGTGTCTGCCAGGGAAACACGAACTTCCAAGTGACCAAGTTATTACTAACAAGTTTGCTACTTACGGAAAGCATTGAATGAACTGGCGTACTGTTCAACTTCAAATACATAGATTATAGAGTTTGTAGTATGTTTACAGATAACAAATAAGCACGAAAAGTTTAGTTCATATGAAAAACCAGAAATATTTTTAATTTACTTGATTAATACTATATAAATGTCAGGCAAACGTAAATATTGAAAAATTACTCGCGGGCCGCATAAATTCATTACGCGGGCCGGATGTTGGCCATGTATGCCCTATACGCTATATCACTAATTTGCTTTATTACGTATCTAATTCTAAATTTAATCATCTTATTTCTGATTTTAAATGTCCCGAAAGGAAAAAATCCAGTGGAGTAATTAATATCTGGGGATCTTGCAGGCCAATCTATGGATCCCCTTCGACCAAACTAATGTCCGGAAATTGGGTATTTAAATATTCACGCACTTGTCGCGCAAAATCAGGCGGAGCACCATCCTGTTGAACCCAAATCTGTTTATATGGCAAATCAGGCTGATTTGGATTTGGGAAAGAAACTGCCAGAGTAAGAAGTAAGTCGCTTTGACGAAATTGTAAATATCGGGCTCCGGTAAGATTTGGATCAAAGAAATAAGGTACAATAATTATGTTATTCGATATTCCTACCCAAACATATATTTGTTTTTGTCATCCATTCGGGATTATTTGTAATCCATTACCTGCAATTTTGTTTAATTACTGTACAACAGTCGCTGACAATGACGGATAATACTTTTCTTCTTTTAAAAAACGCCAAGCTGTTGGCTATTGGCACGTTGGCTAACATCATCATTCGACGATCTTTTACATACCCTGTTTCTATAAATTTTCTCTCAATTGCTCTCTCAACCAACTAGCAATTTCTTCTTGAATTTTTTTTTTCTTCTGAGTTCAATATTAAATTTCTGCTTTTTATTCTTCTGCTTATAATAAGCAAGAGGATAAGCGTAAGTGGTGTGCCATTTAAAAAGGGAACTTGGTATTCACATCTACTTTTTGAACCACCTTGTTTATTTATTATTTACTGTATTTTTCTTTATTATAAAATGAATTTGTTTCATATTTTACCTTCTCAGTGCATTTTAAATTTTTTCTGTTCAATTACAGAAATAAAAAAAATTGAAATTATATATGAATATTGAATTTTTTTAAAATTTATTTAAGAATTATTTTATTAACAAACGGATGTTAAATTTATATGATTAAAAATAAGAAAAATGTTTTGTTGTAACATTTTAATTAATAACCAATTACATTCGATTATAATTAATTTAATTGCTGCTATATTTTCATCGTTTGTTTTTTCTTAATGTATTTTTTTTTTAATTTATACAATTAGAAAATATAAAACATTGATTTGAATGGTATTGTTAATTTCGTTGTATTAGGTGATGAATGGTTCAAAAATAGGTCCGAAATCATTCGGCTTTTACATTGTCAATGTTTATCTTTTGTAATAGTATATTTTGTAACAAGTGTGGTAAACGGCATTTCAGTCACGAGTTTGTTTGGTGGGTATAATATCCGAAAACATCCGATTGCTCCCAAACCTTTACGGTAATATCCAGGAAATGTCCGAAGTGGCCCGGATCTGTGGGAAATAAGACTGACGATGTAAAATGACACTCTCCGCAGGCTAGATCGTTGTATAATTAGGTATTTTACTGAAGGGAGTAGAAAAAACATTTACTAATATTATTTCTCTTTTGTATTTTTTTATTCGTAATTTTAAGTTTTTGAAACTTGAAGTTTTGATATAAAATATGTCATTTATTTTTTTGTTGACAGGGACAATTAATAACGTAAGAACTTTCATAAATATTGTCGTTTTTGTACCTTTGTATTTTGCTTTTAATATTTAAAATATGCAAAATTTGTAAGTCTTTACGAATTTTTTCCAGACTTTTCGGCTTTCATAGTAAATTATAATTTTTTAAATTTTGTATATTTTTTATAGAAGCGAATCGATATAATTATGCTTGTTAATAATCAGTCATATAACTAGAAATCGGTTAGTGTTATATTTTTTAGATTAGCCAGAATTAATTGTTGTTGTAACATAACGTAATTTTTGAGTCCTTAATTGCCCGCCATTTAATTATACCGATTCACAACATGTTATTGGACGAACCGGTCGCGTTTGCGGGACATTTTACATCGTTTTCCATTAACGTCTTTGATAACCCCCAGAGCGGGATATATCATTTTACGTGGTTTATCAGTTATTATGCCACTTCTATTTTTGATTGAGGAGTGCCAGACACAACCTATCTCCGAAGATCACCTTCAACATCAACAGAAATATAGACAACTAATTCTACTTCATTGTCATCCTGTCCTGCTTTGCAACGATGCGACGAGGATGAAATTTTGCGTGAAGAAACTGTCCCTCCTTTAGCTAATTCACAACATTTTCCAAATTTCAATAACAACGGCGTATCGGTGAACGTATTGTTACGGTCTTCTAGGCGAAGGCACGCCGAAATTCCTATTAGAAGAACACACCGGGACGCTATTACTTTAACACAGCGACAACCTTTTCACGTAGAAATTCATTCGTGCGGGCCAATGGCAGATTTGTTTTTATTTTTGCAATACTCTATTTTTTCAGATTATGTGGCAAAGGGGTCAAGTTCTTCCACCGCATTTGAAGGAATGTCCAAGGAATTACATATTTTATTTAATATTTGTATAACATCCATGAAATAAATATTAACTATGCCATGGCATCCATGCATTCTTGAGGATGGTAACGTCGGACTGTTTGTTTCACGAACACGGAATAAATTTGCCAACTACGCCCTTAACGAACCAATTGTAAATGACCAAGCGCACCAACCGCACTCATCCAAAGTTATGTTAGCATTCCGGAAATAATTCGGGAATACCTCTACAGTGGTGGCTTTAAACATAACATTTCTTCGATCGTGATTTCGCCGATCGGAGGTTCAACGACATATGTTTGTTATCATTATTCCATTAAATTTGCATATTTTAATCTGGTTCGAACCTACGGATCGATCCATAATTTAATGGTTAATATAACTTTTTTTACATAAACTTTTGCTTTCTGATTTTTTAATATTTTACCTGACACACATTTTAATTATATAAATTTTTAAAATTTATATAATTATCCTTTCGATTTAAGTATTCATTAGTGGATGTTTTTCTTATCAGTTAATGTAGAAAAGCGCCAGCAATGGACACTTTTTTAATTATTTTTTAATATTTAATTTGTTGATTTACTCTTTAATACATTATGTTTTCGAATTTTTTTAACACAGTTTTTTTAATACAGTTGTATAATTATTCTAAAATTAACGTAATTTTATTTTTCTTTCTATTTTGTTTTTTTCATTAAATTTCTATTTTCATTTCCAACAAAAATTAAAAAAAAAATTCCATTGCTGACATTTTTTTTCATTTTTTTTTATTTGTGTTTTCACGTTTTTTGTCAGTTCTTTCCTTAATAATTTTGTATATTATATATATTCAGTCTTTAAGGATTTACCATAAAGACTCTAAAATATTCGCTATTGCGGCGGGGGTAGGTGAAGTCGGAGTATTCGGTAAGTTTTATGAAGCCAATATTCCCTTAGCCGTCGAAGCTTTGCAGTTTTTTCTGTTCTATCTTGTGTTTGTAATTAGTAATTACCAACTTACTGTTATTCAATTGTTTTTCAAGACTCAGTGTGCCATTTGCATTGAAGTACCATACACATTTTATTACAATTTATTTCTTCTCCGCCATGTAGCGCATCTGGTATGTTAAAATTTAAATCTTGACTCATCAAGATTTTACGTCCTGTCTCCCTTATTTTTGTACATTGAGGATGCGATGCATGTAGAATCTTTGTATAGGTAAGGTTCTTTGTTTCATACCGATTGCATGTCAATTACAGTTTCGATTGTCGTTATATCTTAACGTAGTTTGAGGGTTTCAAGATTGGGTAACTTAACCTGTAAATTCCAGCTCTGCTTACTGTACGAACAGACCCCATAAACACTGTGGCACTAGTATCGTTTGCCAAACGAGCACTTCACCTACCTATCAAGGATAGTTCAATGGAATGCAAATAACAAAAACAAGCACAGTGAACCAGCCCACCAAAAGTAGGATTTGAGCAAGGTTTTACAAACTTTTTTTTAAATGTTGATTGGCTTATATGTGAAATCTATGGTGATCTTTAACCTAAATTTCAACAATACATATTTACAACCAGAGTATTAATGTACAGGGTAACTGATAACTTATCGCACATTAATTGATAATACCTTAATTTACAAGTTTTACGTAGCGGAAATCCCTTGATCAAGTGGTTTACAGCTGTATTTATTTTCGGTCAATGATTCGGGAGTTAGTGTTTTAGTTATCAGTATCCGTTAGAGGAGTAAATTTACTGTGTTTTTATATATTTTTTGTTTAATTAATAATTTTCAAATAATTTTTCTGGACGAACTCTGTATCAAAGGTTTAATTCTTTTAATTTTTTTTGCATTAGTCAATTGTTAAATTGTTATTTTAAAATAAAAAAAACACACCTTTCGTAGCCATCTCAACATGGTACCCACGTGAACATCGGAGTACAAACTTGAGCTTAGAGTTAAGTTGCACTCAAACGGCTTAATTAAAATAACATCTGAGGGTTATCAGTGGTTTTTAATTCTACCTAATCCGATACCTTATTTCTAACCATCTAAAAAATGTATAAAACCGTTTAAAATAGAAGCTGTTACAAGTTGCGGGCTTCAAAAGTAACATAACTGGGTGAAGGTGTAGTGGCGTCCGAATCATTCTACAGAGTGTACGACCCAAAAACTCTACAAAAAAGACTAGCCGTTGCCGTTTCTTTTCTTAAGCTTCGAAAGAAGAAAAGTGAACGTTACAATATGTAGAATATAATTTTTACAAACTCAGTAATTGTTTGCCCATGGACCAATGTCGCTGCGGTATAATCATTTCAAATTCTTGGGTGTACTCTCGGTTGTTGAAATTTTGGTCACTCCTCCATGATGTTTGAAAGGTGTCGTTTTTGATTTTTTAACGACGCGGGCTACATCTGGCCTGACTTCTTTCGCAGTGTTTGATGTCACTGATACCACTCAGTTTTAGATGCTGCGAAATTGAAACCCTTGTGCAGAACGGATGTTTCAGACTGGCACATGTTGTGTCTCGAAGGTAGACAGATTGAGCTCCAATAGGATCATCACTTTCACCACAGATAGAAAACCACAAATTTTATTAATTTGCCTGAATTGGTGTCAGTATAACGAAAAATGCATTTTATTCCAGCGTTATGACGCCTTTTTCTAAAATACCTAGGCAGTTTATAAAAAGCCTAAATAAAGATTAGACAAAAGTTGTGAAAATTGATAAGCCAAACAAGGTAGGAACACAATACCAATTATAACATTCAAAAACCTAAACAAGATCCCGGAATCAGTAAAAACCTTAGAGGACCACATTATTTTTCTATCTTGCTTCTGCAGACTGCTACGTAACTTTGGCAAAACTATAGACCGTCTAGCGATAGTTTTCACGCTTGCATACTTTTAATGAATATATTATAAGGAAGGTCAATTGAAAAAACATTATAAAACACGTAACTGGGTAATATGAATCTAAAAACAAATGAAAGAATGATGGATTTGACCCATATATCAACATACGTATACGCAATTCATTTGAAACAGAAAACTCGTGTGACGTGAGAAATTAAATTTGAAACAGAAAATTCCTGTGACGCACATATGTCAAATTTTTATAAAACACTCTCGTATATCAATGCACATTGCAGTTTACTTTGTCAATATAAAAATAATTAGAAGTATGCCGCCAGTGATCTATTTGTCGAGGGCAATATACAAAATATACTCGTCACTTTTCTGCTGAAGAAAAATGAGAAACTGCTTCTTGTAATCCTCCCATCTTTCGCCCTCTCTTCGTGGTTCACCAAACTGCTTGAATTACTTTGGTATACCAAAAGTGGTCGTGGTGTGACAATAACTGTGTAAGTCCAGTTTTACGCCTATGGTGTTTTAGTCCAATACTCAGACTTCATATTGAATGTATCGGACCGTTTACCTATACGTTATTCTTTTCATTTTTACAACTACGAATTAGTTCGCTCATGCCGGCTACGGTGCTCGGTGCTAGGGTGTACGATGACAGATGCAGCGATTGCAGATCTCCGACGGACTGCTTTGAGCGCTGCCCCCTGTGGGCTTATAGCAGCTAAGGGGACTGAGTTTACTCCGGTTGTTTTAGACAGTGGAGAAAGCGGAATGTCCACAGGTTTTTGCGATCGGATCGGTGAAATAACAAGATCTCGGGATCATTACAATTGTTTCCGGATATATAAAAAAAATCCCTGCGGACCACTATGGAACTTTTGAAAAACCATAGGCCGCCTTCGGGAAAATTTCTCACATTCTCGGGACACCCTGCATACTATAATATCTGGCAACTATACTAAATCATAGTATTTTTTACACTCATGCATTGTACATCTTAAGAAAAATAAATTATTTCTAGCTTGGTCACATGCGTAAATCCAAATATTTTTTCACGATTACATCAGGAATAATTTATAGGTATTTATAGGCGTTGCGAAGCCCGGTGCCGAATTAGGAAACCCAAATTGGGCTTCCTAAAATTAAGCGTGTTTTTGGCAAATTTGTAATAACTAGCGACATCTGAATCGTTGGGACTTGACAACCAGTTGGGTTGAAGGTTTCGATTTGGCGCTAAAGCTCAAAAGCCGCTAAATTTTTTAGCAATAACATAAATGAAATGTAAAGATAAATGTTTGGGCTATGTTTTAGGCAAATTAAAAAAAAAACTGAGATCGGAGTTTTTTCTAAGCTATTGAAAATAACCAATTTTTTTACGGGTTTTCTTTCAGTATTTTCTAAAACTTTGTTTAAACCTAGGTACAACTATTGGTAATTTATTTCCAAAATTTGAACTCGAGATATGCAGTAATAAAGATTATTAATTGATTTAAAAGTGAAATATTAAACAGCCCCCTTCATTTCTGCAACCAAAGGTACAACAAATTCCGCACTTAGCATGGGTTACCAAGTGACGCAAATGTTAGTTTAGCTCTTTTAGTAAAGATGATAGCATTTGATTTGATTCAAAAATAATATGTATAATGAATTTGCTTGAAGGAAGCGGGTCCGCCTAAGAAGTTTACGTTTGTAATAATGTGTTTTGTACATTATCTAAAATGTATGACTTGACTTTAATGTCAAACATTGATTTATGATGCGAAAAATTATCAAAGTAATAACAAAACAAATAATAATAAAAATAAAACAAATATTTTATCAATAAAGGGCGGAATATATGCACGTCTATGCAGTTTCTTAAACTTCACTGCTTAGACTAAAGCTTTGCATAAGTCTTGATGAAACACCTCATAATTTAAAATTCAAGTCAGCTGAACATAATATATAACCAACAACATTCTCCAGCAGTTCTCAGCCGAAAAAATTGAAAAAAAGTTTGAAGATAAAATAATGAATAAACGCATAAAAAATTCAATAGCAATAATACTAAAATCGACCGAAAAGCACTTATCATAGTTTTCTTTTCGCGCAGATCATCTTCAAGACTCTAGAACGTTTGTTTCTTTTAAGTGTTCTACCATAGGTTCTGCCGATGATGAAACTCACAAAAATTTGATAATCGCTGTTTATTGAATAGCACAAACACACTTTTTTCACGACTCGATACAAACAATAAATTGCATTTTCAAGGGTTACCTTATTTAAATACAATCTGAAGGGTAATTAGAATTAAAGGTGTGATAATATTGTACCGATATAATTGCCTATAATTAAGAGGGTTATTTTGTAACTCTTAACGACATCGTTAACGGTTGTTAGGCAACAATCGTCGTAATTTGAAATAACCAAAAACGATCGTTTTCTTTCACTTTAAAAATATCCCATAAATACCTATTCATTTAAAACCATTAATGTGTACGCACATAAAATAATATTTTACCATTTTTTTTTATTATTGAGCTATTCTTTTCTGAGCCACTATAAAATATAAAATTATTAAAAATTGGTAAATTTTAGGCCTTCAAGAGAAAACTATACAAGGTGTTTCTTAAGTGATCTAAAATATTCAAGGAAGCGATTTTTGAGGCATTTTTTAAGAAAAAAACTTCATATGAACCTATGTCCTAAACGTCTTAACTTTTGTGATACAGAAACAGAGAGAAAAAGATGTTTCCATTATATTCGTAATACCGCTTAAGCTATCCTCATGAAATTTGGTACGCAATTTACTCAACGTATTCATGCAAAGGGGTTTTGTGTTGTAAAACTTTTTTCTACTTTTACTTCCAGTAGGGTCCGTACGGCATGTGCATTGAAAAATTTTCTTAAAAATGCGTGAAGAATATCACAAAAATACAGGTTCTTTATATGACCACGGTATCGCGCGTGAAAACGTTGTTGCCTCTTGGACACATCGGCCGAGTCTTCCTTTTTTGGTCGGCCCGGGGTGTTGCCAAATACACCACACTCCTCCCTCCTAGATTTTCCTCTAGGTTGTGTAATTCTCCAAATGTCTTGAAAGGCGCCTCCTTGAATACTTTAGATTACTTAAGAAACACTCTGTGACAGTGTAGTGACTTATTACAATTTAAAAGGGAAAATGAACATATTTGTTTGTTTTTCTTCCAAGAAAAATGTCACGCACCATTGCTTTTTGCTAGTTTTGGCCACTGTTTTCTCAAATTAGCTTTTCGAGGTAAACTAATAAACAGGCCAACAAAATATAAAAAAAAAATTTTCGTGCCCGAGAACTAATAACTGAATTTAGATATACCGAATGTGCTGATTCTAAAACTAGCATCAGATTTTTTTCTATCACCTCTAGTTTTTGAGTTGGAGACTAATTGAATTTAGTTCTAATAAAAAGCAAAAATAAATAAATCAACATCTCTTTAAAATTCAAAATAGGAATTTGATACTCAAAACTGGGATTTAATTAGCCAAATATATCTGAAATTGTCCGCAAAGCAATAATATTCCTAGACCTCGTTAATTCTCTGATATGTCGACGGACTGGGTTTCCGAAAGAAAACAGTAAAGTTAATTACTTCCACTTTAATATCACAAAAATACAGGTTCTTTATATGACCACGGTACCGCGCGTGAAAACGTTGTTGCCTCTTGGACACATCGGCCGAGTCTTCCTTTTTTGGTCGGCCCGGGGTGTGGCCAAATGCACCACACTCCTCCCTCCTGGATTTTCCTCTAGGTTGTGTAATCCTCCAAAAGGCGCCTTGTTCTGGCCGGCCGGGGAGTAACTGGAGTCCCTGAAACCTGCTCTGGCGTGTTCTCTTCTAAAGAGGGCCCATCAGCAGACGGTGAAGGGATAACGACCCTTGGAAGAATCTCTGAGGATTCCGCGAATCGCGAAACGTCGTAGTTCTGACCGTCCGAGACAGGTACGGTCTCTTCGGTGAGTGTACGCGGACGAATTTGATCGGTATGTCTGCGTGTGATTTTACCATCGGGAGTTTTCACCTTGTAGCTGAGCGGTCCCGTTGATTCTATTACCGGTGACGGTAACCACCTTTGACCGGGAGCGTAAGACCTTACAAACACCGGATCATTCTCTTGGAAAGATCGAGGGGTTTCATTAGAAGAGTATTTGTCTTCTTGCTTGGCTGACATTTCTTTGGTGAAATCTGGTTGCATAGGGTCTAAAAGCGTCGCTAACTTTCGTCCCATCAAGACATCTGCTGGAGATCGACCTGTTACGCTGTGGGGTGTAATGTGCTGAGTTAGTAGGTATCTTGACAAAGCTAACTGGACGTTCTCGTTCCCCATCTTCTTGAGTGCATTTTTTACATTTTGCACCATACGTTCTGCTTGTCCATTACTGCTTGGATGGTAGGGAGCGACCAAAACTTGACGAATCTGGTTCGTTTTGAGGAATTGTTGAAATTCTTCGGATGTAAAAGCTGTACCATTTTCCCTCATGACTTTGATAGTCGCTGCACTTGACGTGTTCGGAACCAAACGAACTTCCAGCCATTTAGAGAATGAATCAATTACAATTAAAAATGATTTACCATTCATGGGGCCTGCAAAGTCCACGTGAAGTCGTGTCCAGGGTGCACGAGACCATTCCCATGCATGTACAGGAGCTTTTCTAGGCATATTTCGTGCTTCCTGGCACTCGGAGCAAGTTTTGATTTTATTTTCAATGTCACAGTCAAGGTTTGGCCACCAAACGTATGAGCGAGCAAAAGCCTTCATTTTTACCATGCCTGGGTGTCCAGAATGAAGAAGATCGATCACACTTTTCCTCCCTCCTGGAGGTGTTATGACCCTGGTTCCCCAAAGCAAACAATTTTGGTAACAACTTATTTCGTTCTGTGGTTGAAAGAAAGGCTGAAATTCGTCAGGGAATTTAGATCTTTCCATCGGCCAACCTTTCCATACCCATTGTAAAACTTTGGATAGAATTGGATCCTTGGCTGTTTCACTGGCGACCACTCTTTCCGGGATGTTCTCAAACATCAAGACATCGGGTGCGTTGGGTGGTTCTGGAGTGTTTAATTTCTGGGGTAAACGACTAAGCGCGTCGGCGTTGCCAATTCTTCAGCCTGGAACCTGGTGTAAATTGTAGTCATACTCTGTGAGCATCAGAGTCCATCTTAACAATCTCAGTGAAAGGATTTCTGGGATTCCCTTCCTCGGGCTAAAAAACCTACGTTCGGATGCAGAATTTTCGTCCATATAGGTAATCGTGGAACTTCTTAACTCCTACAATGATAGCGAGAGCTTCTTTGTCCAGTTGTGAGAAATTCCTTTCTGTTGAGGATAATGTGCGACTGTGGTACGCCACTGGGACCTCTCTACCGGAGTCGTCAGGTTGACTGAAGACATATCCAACCCCAAATGAACTAGCATCGCAAGTAAGGAAGAGCTGTTTAATGTCCTAGTATGGGCTCTGTAATTAGGATATTCTTTGAACGTTGAACCCTTTTTCATGTTCTGCATGCCACTGCCAAGAGACCTTTATGTAGCAGATCATGCAATGGATTAGCAATCGTTGCTTTGTCTTCAAGAAAAACGTGGTAGAAATTTATCAAACCGAGGAAAGCTTGCAATTCCGTTTTGTTGGTTGGCGCAGGCGCGTTAACAATTGCTTTCACCTTCTCTTTGGTCGGTCGAATTCCCTCTGCACTAATACTAAAACCTAAAAATTCTATAGATTTCGTGTGAAAAATGCATTTATCACGGCGTAGATTAAGTCCATCTTCTCGAAAACGGGTAAGTACTTCACGCACTTTACGGTCCAAATCTGTTTCGGAATGTCCAACTATGAGAATGTCGTCGTAATATGGAAGAACTCCTGGGATTCCGGTGAGTCTCATGTCCATGAAACGTTGGAAAATTTGGGGTGCCACGGAGACACCAAATTGTAAGCGTTTGCTCCTAAAAGGTCCTTTGTGTGTGATAATGGTCTGTGCGTCTGCAGCTTCTTGATCTACACTCAACTGCAGGTAAGCTTGAGCCATGTCTAGTTTTGCGAATATTTTACCACCTGCTAGAGCTGCTAATATATTTTGAACAGACGGAACTGGATAGGGGTCTGTACGCAACGCCTAGTTTATGGTACTTCCGTCACCATTGTCCTGGGCGACAACAACAATGGGAGTGGCCCGTTTTGGATGAGTCACTGGCTCCAGCACACCTTGATCGACAAGTCTATCCAATTCACGATCAATCTTGTCCTTTAAAGCGAACGGTATCTTTCGGACTTTGAGAACGATAGGCTTGATGTTCGGATATGAGGAAAAACTTACGGGAGGCCCTTTGAATTTCCCTAGAGTTGACTCCAATACTTCCAGGTATTCCTTGACAAGGTCTGATTTATCTGATTTATTCCTCTAATAGTTAAACCTAGCCTTCCAAACCAGTTTCTTCCAAGCAGGCTTGCTCGGTTGCCTTCAGTAACAATAACTGGAAGGGTAGCACTTTTTTGTCCTCGTTGTACGTTCACGTAACACTCGCCAATTGTCGAAATTAGCTGGTTTTGGTAATCTAGTAGAATTAAGTTACATGGTTTCACTTTTGGAGGATTGTCCATGAAAAGTTTTTGAAAGGTTGATTTGAATATTATGGAATATCCAGCGCCCGAATCGATTTCCATTCTTATCGGTTTCTTATTCAGGAGGACGTCTACCAGATATTTACCAGTGATGCTGTCCGATTTCACATTGTTAAGCGAAAAATGGTACACCTGGTCTTCCGAACTGTGCTCATTTTGTGGCACGTTTTTGAAATTGCTTTCACTAGATTGTTGGTTCACTTTTGGTTTTTGTTTTGAATGTTTTTTCTTTGAGAAACATGCATGTTCTACGTGTCCTATTTTGCCGCAAAATTTGCAACTTTGCGTTTTTGTAAACACACGAGTCTGGTGAGTGCTTTTCTTCGCAGCGAAAACACCTTTTGGAAACTCGGGAAACGCTTGTTTTCAGCTTCGAGGGGTCTTTGTTTACCTTTTCGCGTGCGTTTACGTGATTATTTCCTCGTAGGTCTTTTCCGTTACCTTCATTGGTGCTATGAGCGATCGAATTATGTCGTAGGTCGCCGGTCCGCAGATGCTCAGAAATACGGCCTTTTTCTTTCCCGCGTCCGTTATGTCGTTAGCGGTCAAGTAAAAGTCGAGGCGTTCCTTGTAAGAGTCCCAGCTTTTCGAATCGTTAACGTTGAAACGTTCAATATTTCCGAAGGACGCCATGTTAACTTTTTTCGGCTGGCGTGTCGCGCTTACGTACCGGGCAAAGTGACACGTTTCTTCACAGACTTTAGCGCGAATACTCGTGGCATCCCATCCTTGTCGCCAAAATGATATGTCGGCGGACTGGGTTTTCGAAAGAAAACAGTAAAGTTAATTAGTTCCACTTTAATATCACAAAAATACAGGTTCTTTATATGACCACGGTACTGCACGTGGAAACGTTCTTGCCTCTTGGACACATCGGCTGAAACTGCCTTTTTGGTCGGCCCGCGGTGTTGCCAAATACACCACAAAATCATAAGCGGCACTGAATCAGAAGAGTCCGGACGACCGATTCAGATTCATTTGAATTAGAATTATTGTTGTGTCTATATTTTTTGTTTTAGTTAGAATCATAGATAGTTAGCTGTCTTTAGCTTTTTATTGCATCATGATTTTATCAAAATAGGTGCGACATATTGGGTTGTTCCAGTAATACATTAATTTGTTCAAATTAAACATCTGCGTGGAAATAGATATTTCATTCAATATTCAATTCAATACATAAGCAAATCGACCAATCGATATCGCAATTCGTCTACAATTATTATAATACTCCATTCCTTTTCCGTGGTCTGTTTCTGTCGTGCATTTCAATCTTAAACCATTCAAATGAACCGTATTCCGCAAGGGGAATTCGATTTGTGTTGGTACGGTCGATCCATCGATCGTCGTCTCACTTCAGACCGGTCAGGGCCGCAGTGAGAGCGAAAAATGTGTTCGAATCATTACGAATAAACAGGATTCGTTCGTTCGATCATTGGAAAACATTTAATAAGTGACCGAATCAATCACGATTGACACAACTCTATTTCTAATTTGAAAATGAGACGAATAAGAGATGGTGCTTGAGACGTCGCTTTGCAATAGAAGAGCCAGAGATGGCACCACTATGAATCAAAAGTCCCCTTGACTTTTTCACCCCATTTTGAGATGTGCGTTTTGCAAGAATTTTTTAGGCGATTTTTGTGTGTATGTGTTCATAGTTATGGGATTTTTGATTTGACTTTGTATGTTTTGAGTTTGTGGTTTCATTTAGAAAAGTGAGTTAAAATACTTGCTTACTTTAGTGTTTGGTCTGCAATTTGTAATAAGTAATTTTATATATGTATTTCCATTTGTTGTAGAACGTGCAGAGAATATTAGTAATGATATTTCGACTAAAACTTAAGCGTGCTGTGTAGCCGAACCAACATGAGGCATCGTTTTCAGAAAAACTCTCCAAACATATGCAAGTTATGAGTGGATAGAGTTAAACCAAAAGGGCCCGAAGTTTTCACAGTGGACAGAAAATATGTCGTTTGTGATTATCATTGCATTCCAAGTGATATCATATTATAAGAAAGGAGAGGTATTAAACCAACAGCAGTTTCCTGTTTGCTTATCCCCCGTGACTTTCTACATTATTTTATTTATATTGATAAAATATTGAATTATTTCAGTTATATCTGACTTATATATTTTAAATAGATATTTACTAAACTTTTTTCAGCTTGCCAGTGTCTGAATTTTTCAATTTACAATTTCATCCAACTTCTTCTGCAAAAACTTAATATTCATTTTTTTAATTTCAGATACAACTGATGCCACTAATGCAGCGACTGATTCTGATTTTTTGATGTCTGATGCAGCAAATGTAGAGATACAAAATATGGACATAGCTGCTGCTGGTCCTTCTACACAGTGTAAGTATCTATACTGGAAATTAAAATCTACATTTTTATTTAATTTCAAAATACGAATATTCATTGATCTAGAGTTGATAACACATTTGATTTTTTTTTCATTATAACTTTATTATTCATACTACCACACAGATTGAATGTAGTTTGATAAAGTTAATCAAAAGGTACAAAATATGTGCAGGACTGCTGTTGGAACTTCTACACTTTTCCAGAATATTGCTGTCAAAAGGCGTATATGTATACCGGGTGATTCAAATTCGACTTTCATCATTAGGATCAATGAGAATGTACTTACAAATTTTTGGTAAGTTTTAAAATGAAGACATAAAAAAAATGAAAATAAAACTGGAAGTTTCAGATTTTCCGCCATATCTTCGGAAGTAAGAAAAATAAGTTCAATTTCAAAGCAGGATATTAATGAACTCACCGATGTGCAACTTTGCCCTAGTTTAGGTCACCCTGTATCTCTTACCGTTACCGAGATCCTAATGGTGAGATTCGAATTTGAAACACATACACATTTATTATAAGTTGCAGTACACATTTAATTCTTTTAGAGAACCTTTGAACAAGATTTTAGAGATATTAGGACAAGCTAATGTCACTCGTCACTTCAGATTAGAGTAGGAACTGCTGAAAAACTAATAAACACACCAAATTATTTTCAATGTTATATGGCCGTTTCCAGTCTGTGGCTTGTAAACAAGCATAGCGAGAAATTACTATTTTTGAGTGTATCCCAGATAGTTTTTTCATTTTGTGAGTGTGGGTGAGTCTTTTATTTGTATGAGTTTAGTTTGTTGTATTTTATTGATTTGTTTTGCTTCTACGTTTCAAGTAAATGCTTACCTAAGAAAATTGGTCATCAACATGACATTGGTCAACAAAAGTATTTTCATTCATCTAATAAATAGGGTTTGGAGTTATTTCTCTGTGAGCTGAATCGTGAAGATACTAAATCAAGATACTTTCAACAAAATGGCAAAGATTTCAGATAATATTTGACACTGAATTGATATGAAGAATAGGCAAGAAGTAACTGACCAAGACCCGTTTCTTATCATAATATAAATATCATAAGCTTAATGTTAACGGGAGTAGGAAATAGGCTAATAAAATGGGCATGGAATTTTGAACATCTCAATTTGCTAATCAGTTTTTGGTTTATGAAATCTTCAATCATTTTCATTAGTTCTATATGGAAGCTATGCCCATGTTAACTACTGCATCTACTGAAAGACAAAAATTTTAATTGAAGTTGTGGCGGTTACCGAGGTAATTACTTTTCAAGTTATCGCGCTAATAATTATATTGTTACTTTTGAAGAGAGGGAGGTTAACAAATAAAGAGTGGAAATGCCAAAGGGGATGGATATGTGCCAAAAGTATGTTTTTGAGATACTCAAAAAAAACTGTTTGAATTTGCATATGTGGCGGGGGCACGTACGACAATTGTAATATATTAAAAAATGGCACATACCGCCTTTGACATTTCCACTCTTCAAATATGTAAATCCAGTAGTTATGTGTGTTAATTGCTGTAGATATGGGCATGTTAAGACTAATTGCATAGGAAATGCGCCTAACTACACCTTCTTGATTAAACAATATCTAATAGACAAGCCTTACTTAAATATACTTCAATCTAATTCATGAAATTGTAGAATTGGCCGGTCAATTTTTTTGGTGTAAATTGACCAAACTAATTTTAAAAGTACAATGAAATGAATAAAAACAATTTTTTTTAAATATAATCATTGAAATAAGATAACACATCTTCATTTTAACAAAAAATAAAAACTAGAAAATTAACCAAAACATATTTCATATTTCTATTTTAACTTAAAATAATAAACAAATAATATTTAAAAGTTTTTTTGGAAATACTTTTACACTATTTCAAAACAAACAAAAATAATAAACATGGTTAATTATTGAGACAAATAGGCAGTGATAAGTTGTGTGTGAGACTAATTCCCCAAGTTGACCAGTTCCTTTCACAAGAAGCTGAGGAGACCGGCATTCTTAGTAGTTTTGTTCAAACCGATTTTTTTTGCTAATTATTCCACCAAGTCATGATATTTTACATATTGATTTCATGGTTTTTACGGTTGTCCATATTCGATTATTTCAATTTCTAAGTTGTACGATTAACATAGTCGCTTATTGCAGTTCTTGTGGAGCTAGATTCTCCCCTTGATATTTAGGATAAATGAATATGCTGTATTGGGCGTACCAGTACATGCAATATCATTTTTTTTTATTACTAATGCAGTTATTTCTTCTTTTATCAAGCACAGTTTGTGACGGACAAATGGCAGAAGTATTTTCAATAAAGGTAATCAGACGAACAAACTAACCAAAACTAAATTGAGTCGATCGATAATCGCTAAATATGTATTCCGGGTATTCCATTGAACATCACAAACAAATAATCATTTATTATAAAATACACATTATTATGATAGATAGCACTCTACAAGTGTAAGATGTTATTTAAAACATTTTGATCGAATTTGACTAGTCAATTCACGGTGAACTCACTACTAATTCATATACCTCAAAATCTTGCATTTTCCGAGTCATCTAAGAAATTTTCAAAATAAAATTGCTTCATGCATATTATACAAGTAATAAAATAAGGAAACTATTTAAAATATTTAAATATTTAATAAATCCAAGGTCTAGGGCAAATATATTTATGAAAATTTTAAAAAATCATTTTTGTGAGCTCATTAATATAAATAACCCCATACTGATATACATACCAAATTGTGCGTACGATTAAAAAAACAAACTTCTACGTCAAAAAAAACCAAAATGACCGTGTATTTTTGTTAACGTCATGTTTTGTTTCACAAAAAAAGTAGCTAAGAACTGCAAGAACTCAAGGTTGTCTCTTCACTAACAACAAACAAAATGAAACAGAGTGTAGAATTCATATAGTATACTTATCAACTAACTATACAACACAAACTAACTAAATTTACTCAAGGGATTAAAACCACAAAAACATGAAAATGTTAAACCAAGATGTCACTAAACAAACACGAAATCCACGACACAAAAAAAATAATAATAAATACAAATACTATAATAAAAAAAATCAATAAGTATGAGAAACAGAATTATATCACCAAATTCACCGTCTCAACATGTATCTCCAATTGAACACAAAAAACACGACATCGACGCTTCAAAAATTTTAGAAAACAAATTATAACGTAATATCAGTCTTTAAAATAAATTAAGGCATTCGTAAAAAAAATTATAACAATCACGTTTCAATCTAAAACAACAAACCCAAGTATATTTTCTTAAAAAAAATATCTAATTCAATTTCCCGATTTTTAAAAAATTACATATTTCTTAAAAAACAGATGAAGTACAGTCCCGATTATCCAAAATGAGAGAAGTTACAGCAGGTGAAAAAAATATTGCTTTCAAGTTGAGCGAGCACGAGCATTGTCTAGTAACACAACACATTTTCTGGGGTACTCTGTGCTCTTAAAAAAAACTACTTATGGTATTTGAGGCCAACATTTTGAAGTTCAAGCCCGTTTCGTCACAAGTGTAGACCTAGTCTGGTTGCAGCACTTACACCATTGCGATTTTTTCTCTGGAACCGTACTTACGCTTACATCTAAATCATTTACTATATTTTTTTAAAAATCACTCTTATCTAATACTTGAACCGCTTTAAGTTTTTCTTGCAAGCCGATAACAACGCCTACATTTATTGCCCTGGCAGTGCATTTTGTGAAATATGTCAAAATAAAACTACTCTTTTTGAATAACAAACGTTATTATACACTTGGAGCGCTCTGAATTTTTGTTTCTTGATAGTTTATTTCGGATAAACCGGATTTCGGAAAATCGTTATTCGGATAATAATATATATAAGATTATAATTCTCGAGAGAAGTGGCATGAATTAAAAATACTTAATATTATATAAAGCAAACAAACAAAAACACTCTACCTAATTGTCGTAATAACGCCCATGCTACTTTAATTGATTAAATTGAAAAAATTTAAATGTCAGTGTAGTGGCGGTTACTGGGGCAATTGTACAAGTTATCCCCACTAATGATTATACTGTTGCTCTTGAGGGGAAATCTCGTCCTGACGTAAAAGTTAAAATATATATAAATGCAGTAGACATGGGTGTTAATTGCAGTAGATATGGGCAGGTTAAGACTAATTGCATAGGAAATGCGCATAACTACACCTTCTTGATTAAACAATATCTAATAGACAAGCCTTACTTAAATATACTTCAATCTAATTCATCAAATTGTAGAATTGGCCGGTCAATTTTTTTGGTGTAAATAGAGCAAAATAATATTATGTTAGGTCTAATTGCAGACGGAAGGTACCTAACTATACCTTTTTGATTAAACAGTAATATGCAAATCTTACTTGAAAATACTGCAATTTAATTTTTATACTCATAAATTTTCAAAATAATTGTTTACGGTAATTTAAGTTTTTGCTTTCGATTTTTTATCGAATTGAAACTTGACAAGGGTTAATAAAATAAGCATCACTAATATAAATAGATTATTCGGATATCAATGATGAACGGGTAGCAATGCACTTTTCAAAATGTGAATTATCTGTTTTATTTTTTTATGGGTCCCCTCTATCTTAAACTTGTCCTTTCATTAGCCTTTCTTTATGAGTCCCCAAAAAGCATATCCTCCCACCTGTAGGTTTATCTACCGTCATAATGTTTGATGTTGTTCAGTTCCAATGGAAACATATGTGTAGGTAAAGAAGGTAAAATTTTTGAACCCTTATGGATTCCGAAATCCTCAAAAACTATTTAATTTTTCGGCATAAATTTTTGTCGGTCAAAATAGATAGATATTAATAAATATATTAAAAGGCAGACTTAAAAGCAATCAGGAACAACCTGTTCATAAATATAAACCAATCAAAATTATAATTTTTTTCAATATGTTGTTACAATTAAAATAATAATAAAAAACACGTCTTT